TGGACACTTGTGCAGATCAGTTTGCTCTGCCCCTTTACACACAAGAGTGTTCTCTTCATGGCTGAGATTCCAGCTCTGAGACTAAACATCCCATAGTTCGGACAGAGATCACTGCCCTCATGATCACCTTTGATAGTCTGAACATTCTGTTATTCATGGAACAAACAGGATGGCTTACTATTCCTTCTTTTAAGCAGTCTTCCTCCTTTCTAGTCACTGCCTATGTTTTCAGGACTGTAGTTTCCTCAAGAAGTCAGTGGTGTCTCAAAGATAGGTAGGAGTGCTGGTAGCACAGGACTGAGGGGAGCGTCTACATAACCAGATAATCCTGCTGTCAGGGTGCCAATGCCTGAGATGGGGCATCTAGGGTTCCCAGGTTTATGGATCTTGGGTAACAGATAGAATACCCCTGGTCGGGGCTCTAGGAGTGTGTGTGTAGATTTGTTCCTGTGCTTCTTCAGAGAGTTTCTTGAGCAGATGGTGTAGTTTCTTTTGATAACCCTCAGTGGGATCAGAAGGTAATGGCCTGTAGAATGTGGTGTCAGAGAGTTGCCTAACAGCCTCTCATTCATATTCCAACCTATTCATGATGACGACAGCACCTCCTTTGTCAGCCTTTTTGATTATGATATCAGAGTTGTTTCTGAGGCTGCGGATGGTGTTGTTGCACGGCTGAGGTTATGGGGCAAGTGATGCTGCTTTTCCACAATTTCAGCCCGTGCACGTCGGTGGAAGCACCCTATGTAGAAGTCCAGTCTGTTGTTTCAACCTTCAGGAGGAGTCCACGCAGAATCCTTCTTTTTGTAGTGTTGGTAGGAACGTTTCTGTGGGTTAGTGAGCTGTTCAGCGGTGTTTTGGAAATATTCCCTGAATCGGAAACGTTGAAAGTAGGATTCTAGATCACCGCAGAACTGTATCATGTTTGTGGGGGTGGTGGGGCAGGAGAGGCCCCGAGATAGCCCAGCAGAAGAGTCTGTCCTAAGAACATAGCTGGATAGATTAACAATATTGTTGGGTGAGTTAAGGCCATTGTTGTGGCCCCTTGTGGCATGTAGGAGTTTAGCCCACTTCCACCTTAATTGAACTGGCTCATTAGCACTGACCCCCCACTTGGGAAGGCAACTCCCATCTTTTCATATGCTGTGTATTTATACCTCCCTACTGTATGTTCCACTCCATGCATCTTATGAAGTGGGTTTTAGCCCACGAAAGCTTATGCCCAAATAAATTTGTTAGTTGCTAAGGTGCCACAAGGACTCCTCGTTGTTTTTGCAGATAGGAAAACAGTCATTTCCTACCAGGGAGACAGGGGTGGATGTGAACAGGCAGGCTTGCTCTGCAACTGCGTGTGTATAGTTCCCATATATCCTTCCTGCTAGATCCTAGTGTCGCCACAAAGAACCACTCCCCCCACTCAAAAAAAAAAAAAAAAAAAAGAAGTCAGGAAACTAGGACAAAAAGGAAAGAAAGAGCTCCTGGATGAACTAGATAACTGGGAAGGAGCAAAGAGAAGGAAAGTGCAGTGACCCCGAAGTAAGGAGGTTAGATGGAGATGCTACCGTTTTCTAACATCTGCTTGTTATTTTGAGGGAGGAGTTGGTAACGAGAATGTGAGAAATATTGTGGGGCGCTCATTCTTTAAACATGAATTTACACCAGGGATGAACCTGGCCCACTGTCCTCAGTTCTATGTTTTTCATAGGGAGATATCATCAGACTGGAGAAGGGGCAGTGCAGCAAGGGTGGTTGCAGTTGAACTTATTCTAAACTGGAATCAAGAACACCCCAAGGTGACCAGACAGGAGTACTGAATACGTGGGGGTGGATAGCAGAGGGCAGGCACACGGTCCAGCAGCTGGAGCAGCCACGAGTCTGGAGTTCCACTCCCAGATTGATGACCGACTCCCTGGATGCCCTTGGGTGTCACTTTACCTGTCTGTAAAATGGCACTAATACTTACATGGCCAAAGCTGGTGTTGTGAGGTTTAAGCAATCCATGCTTGTAAATGCTTGAGATCTCTTGAGGAAAGGCGCTAGAGAAGCTCACAGCATTGCAAAATGAGATCACATCTACACTACAGGCGTCTGCTGGTGTCGTCGTCAGTCAGCGGCGTGATCCCTGACAGACATAGCTATGCCAGCAGAAGCCCCTACTACAGATGCAGTTACACCAGCAAAACTGTGCTTCTACCGGTATAGTGTTTTGTTCGGGTAGTGCGGGTGTGTGGAATAAGCTATACTGATAAAAGTAGAGCTTTTCCACTCTAGCTGCATGCACTTTAGGAGTGCTCTGGCAGTGTAGCTATACCAGCCAAGCACTCCTAGCGTAGACATGGCCTGAGTTAAAAGTGCTGCCGGCTCAGTGAGGTGAGGAGAATTAGAGCCCAGGAAAGAAAATAGGAAATTCCGAGGAACCGGAATCAGCTACTGGTTGAAGCTATTGGTATTTCCTGTTTATATCACCAGCAAATCAGTACACAACACATTCTTAGATAATCATCTGTCACTAGCTGGGGTGGGATGGGGGTTCATTCATGTAAACAGATTCTCTGCCGTCAGTGCGTTCATGACCAAGGAGAAGTGAGTGTTGCAAAAATATTCCCTTCATCAGACTTCACCCTCACTGAACTCCTCCTTCACTGTCACCAGCACTGCTCTTTCTAGCAGTCAGCAGGGACCCGGGACCATGACCTAGAATTCCAAGGAAATGGAAAGGAGTTCAAGGCCCTGAGCGTGGGAGGCTTCCTGCTACCCCATCTAAAACCACCTCTCTGAAATGGTGCTACTCTGGTGTCTGATTAGTGTAAATACATGTTGTCAACTCAGTTTAAAAGTAGGGTGAAGACTGATACAGCCTTCAGGCGTTCTCAACTGCCAGCAAAATATTAACTGTAACCAAAGCAGGGCAGGGAAGTGGTGTTCACCTACTACTCTGGTCTCTAAAAAAGCTGCAATCACATATCATCCGAGACAGGCCTGGCCAACCCAACACCAAAGCATCACTGTCTGCCCCTAAAATGTCCAGCAAGATAACTAGCACACCAGCTCCATCTCAGGGAGGAAAAGGCATGAGAAATAAGCAGCCAAACAGAACAAAGGGCACTGCCTTTCACGCACAAACCCCCAGTCACCCTGGGGGGACTCATAACTGGGACAAACAGGCTGACCTTATTACACACACAGGGGAAAGCTAGCCTACACAACCTACTGTTAAATTAACACAGCTATACAGCTGATTAACTATTCATGGCAGGCAGCTGCTAGAAGACCTTCTTACTACATACAGGATTTGATTTGCTTCTTAAATAGTATGGAAGCTTTTTCTTTTTTCAGGGGTAGGGATAGCTCAGTGGTTTGAGCATTGGCCTGCTACACCTAGGGTTGTGAGTTCAATCCTTGAGGGGGCCATTTAGGGTTCTGGGGCAGAAATTGGGGATTGGTCCTGCTTTGAGCAGGGGGTTGGACTAGATGACCTCCTAAGGTCCCTTCCAACCCTGATATTCTATGAAGCAACAGTGCTCAAATTGTACAGTCAGGAAGTCCGAGCTCCACAGAATGTTACTTAAAAAAATCAAAACCAAATCTCCTCTAAAATCCAGAGCTGTAGAAACTAAGGCAAAGACTTTTCTGAGATTCAGGGTGTGGTCCTTGCAAAATTCTCCAAGCAGGGAGGGAGTATGAGACGATGGGAGGGGTGTGAAAAACCATGCACATCGTCTATCTTTTAAGCGTCCCCATTTGTCTATGACATCTATTAAGCAAGTATGTTTTAAGTCCCCCTTCCTCCCCATGTACATTCCTTCTCCAAGCAATCAGCTCATCTTTCTTAACCTAACAGCAACACCGAGTTTTCAATTCATATCCCAAGGCTGGGAAACCTAACATTTCCCCCCAAACTCCGCCCAGATTCCCCACTTGTAAAACAGGAGAAGCAGGAGCACTAGACAAAATAATAAATAAAGTGAATAATTTTTTTTTTTTTAAATCCAGTTTTACATGTCTCCTCATTTTTAACTATTTTTGTTTTTCGGCCATAGGTGCTGGAAGTAGGGGTGCTGCAGCAATCCTTTTCTTGAAGTGGGGTCTATCATATATAGGGTTTACAGTTTGATTCAGTGACTCTCAGCACTCCCACTATACAAATTGTTTCAGCACCCTTGTTTTCAGAGCCAACTTCGCTGCACATATTAGAAAATTTGGCATCAAAACAAATTTCAAAGATAAAAACGTATGTTTACTGAAGAGTTATTTTTTTATTTTTAAGAAGGGGGGGAGGGGGGAGAGAATACATCACAAATTTCCAGCGTCTAACCACAGGATTTACATGTTTTAGTAATTCTCTAGTTCCCACCTGCTAGAACCCCAGAAAACACTTTCACCGCCTGCAGATGCCTTTACAGCTGACCACCTCAGCTATTATATAACTACGCACCAGCATTTGTACCCACAGGCGTACTCGCTCAACCCCGCAGACAGACAGACAGAGCTCCTCACTCCGCGCCTCCCAAGCATTTTTCAATTCGGTTTACAGGTGGTTTATCAACTTTGGCGAGCGTCTGTACATTTTAACCCGGGATCAACGCAATCCTTCAGAATTTAAAGAACCACGTCAGATTTATGGGGCTTTTTTTTTAATTAAAAAAAATTTAAAGACCTGGGGGGGGGGGGGTAAGAACAGCTAGCAGCCTGGGCTTGCGGATCAGCCCACTGCTCAGGCCCGTAAGCTCTTTCAATGCAACAACCATTTTACGCTGGGCTCAACCTCCCCCATCTTCCAAACCGAATGTCCTTCCCGTCCCTCTCAGCTGTTCAGAGGAGGGGGCTTTGCTCCTCTCGTGCAGGGAGGAAGCCAAGTCTCCGCTCCCCGCTGCATTGTTTTGGGTCGGAATCCCTCTGCAGCCAGGGGGAGGAAAAGCGAACACAGCCGCCCCGCGTTGTGTGATACACACATCCGCGCCCGAGACCCGGGGGGGGAGAAATGGAAAAAAAGCGCAACTCACCCAAAAGACAAAATTAAAGACAAAAAGCAGGTATTTGATGCACTTGGTGCAGCCTTCCACGCCCATTGCTGCGGATTTCTGTGGGCAGAGCTGCCTGCGAGGGGTGGCCTGTTAAATCAGCGCGTGTGAACAAGGAGCCGCAGCTATTGCGGAGGGTAGCCTCTATGTTTTCCTTTGGGATTTCCGCTGACTGGTGAGGTGCTAGGCGGCTTCTCTTCGTTATCTCCTCCCCCATTCAATTACAGACACCCACCCCCTGGCTCTGTCGCTAAGCCACGATCCTCCCACTCAGCCGCAGCCGGTCATTTTTACAGAGGAGGCTACCGCCTCCTGGGGGCAGGCGGCCCCAACTTCCCACTGCCTTTTATACCATTTCTGAACGACCCCAGAAACAGGCATCAATCATACCGGGCACAGCTGTTCTCAACGTTCTCAAGCGACTGGGCGACTATTAACGGATGAGACTGATGTAAGTAAAAAGAAAAGGAGGACTTGTGGCACCTTAGAGACTAACCAATTTATTTGAGCATGAGCTTTCGTGAGCTACAGCTCACTTCATCGGGTGCATACCGTGGAAACTGCAGCAGACTTTATATACACACAGAGAATATGAAACAATACCTCCTCCCACCCCACTGTCCTGCTGGTAATAGCTTATCTAAAGTGATCATCAAGTTGGGCCATTTCCAGCACAAATCCAGGTTTTCTCGCCCTCCACCCCCCCCCCACAGAAATTCACTCTCCTGCTGGTGATAGCCCATCCAAAGTGACAACTCTCCACACAATGTGCATGACAATCAAGTTGGCCCAACTTGATGATCACTTTAGATAAGCTATTACCAGCAGGACAGTGGGGTGGGAGGAGGTATTGTTTCATATTCTCTGTGTGTATATAAAGTCTGCTGCAGTTTCCACGGTATGCATCCGATGAAGTGAGCTGTAGCTCACGAAAGCTCATGCTCAAATAAATTGGTTAGTCTCTAAGGTGCCACAAGTACTCCTTTTCTTTTTGCGAATACAGACTAACACGGCTGTTACTCTGAAACCTGATGTAAGTAAGTAGCTCTTACTTAAAAGTCTCTATGTCCAGATTCACAAACCACAAGTGACTACTGAAAAAAATATAAGGAGTACTTGTGGCACCTTAGAGACTAACCAATTTATTTGAGCATGAGCTTTCGTGAGCTACAGCTCACTTCATCAGATGCACGAAAGCTTATGCTCAGATGAATCGGTTAGTCTCTAAGGTGCCACAAGTACTCCTTTTCTTTTTGCGAATACAGACTAACACGGCTGTTACTCTGAAACCTGAAAAAAATATATTGCTCTTTTAAAGGCTCAAGTGTACATGGCCATGGAATTCAACAGCGGAGCAGCTACCGTGCCTGGGGATTCTTCTGGGGGCCTACTGGAAGTTCGAGGGCTGCACCGAATTTTGGGTAAGAGGGTTGGATTTCAGCTTACATGTGGCAGTTTTAAATTTGGAAAAACCGATTTCCCCATCCCTCATCTAATCTGTATAATTTGTATTCGGCCCTGATGCTGAAAACACTTAATATTCATGCTAAACTATACTGTCTGGAATAATCCCATTGAAAGCAATGGGAGTAAAGTTAAGCACTTGCATAAACCTTTGCAGGATTCTGGGCCTTAATGCATCCAAGGAAGAGATCCAGTTCAGCTGTGTTTGAACTGCAAACACACTTGATCTGAATTACAATTATATTTGACCTTTCAGCACATGAAATTCAGAAAAAAAAAAAAAGATAAAAACAGACAACATACATATTTTTAAATTTAATAAAATTTTGTCCGAAACCAAGTTCTGCTGACTTGCTCATCCCTAATAAAATGTATTTCTTGCTCTGGTGCTGATCCTACCACTCTTACTCATGTTGAGGAGTACCGTACTCTGCAAACAGGTTTGTGAATTCCATTGGGGCTGTGTAGGGAGGATAGTAATTCTCAAAGTGAAGGTGACAGAATAATTATTTATTAAAGGGGCACCTACAGGTGCCAACCAAGATCAAGGTCCCAGTGTTCTAGGCACTTTACATACACATAGTAAGGGAGATCCAGATCCTCCAAAGTATTTGGACACGTACCTCCCACTGATTCCTAGGCGAGAGAGTCTTTGCTCCAAAGAGCTTACAGTTTATTTAGACAAGATGTAGAAAGGCAATATTATCCCTCTTTTCAGATGGGGAACTGAGGCACAGAGAGATCAAGTGACTATCCTCCTCTCACACACAGATTCTGTCGCAAAGCCAGGAATTGAACTCACACACCTCTGATCCTAGTCCAGTTCTTTAACTGCAACAACATTCTTCATCTGGTCTTCTGATACTGGCTTTATTGGAATTAAGTATTGCCTTATGAACATTTCAGACACTGTATTCTGGAACTGCAATGTAGAGCCTTCCACAGGTTTAGCCTGATATCGGTTTGGTTCACTGTGAATGCATCGAGAATGTCCATACTCTTATACAGGAGCTTTTTTCCAGCAGTTAGGCAGCAAGTGACAGAAGCTTCATTTTTCTATCTTTGCTGTACTTTTCTTTCCCCATCTTGTGCCTGTTCATCTTGTCTTGTCCTTTGGGAAATGGGATTGGACTCTAACAACAGCTCCAGCCCATCTCCGTTAACTTCTCTTCCCTAAAAAAAAGGACAGTTATCATACACCTACAGTTTCAAGGCCTTTGGATGCCCCTATACCTGCATCTCACAAAGTAGCATTATTTACACCATCCTAATACATCATGATGTAGCCCTATTTACCCCCACCTGCACCCCTGAGACCTTTGTGGATTCTACTTCCCCATGCACGTGGTTCACAGCCTTTGGATCTTAGTGTGGATTCTTGTCACCCACCTGTTCAGCTGATATGAGGCCTTTCATAGTATAGTTCATTCACCTTAGCATTGGATGAAAGACTATAGTGCTATTTACCCCAGACCATACTTTTAAGATCTTTGTGTGTATTTTCCCCCTCATCCAGCATGGGACTGAGGTGGCACTGTTTACACTGGTCCACAGCTTCCAGACCCAACTGACTCAACTATGGATTTCACAAATGAAATCTGAATGTACTTAACAAAGATGGTCAGTGGAATCAACTGTTGTCATGGACTAACAGTGATCGGTTGCTATGTGACTGCCAAAACCCAGCCAGGTTGGGGGACAAAACATAAAGGACAAACCCAGATAATTATAGAAGTGGGAGAAATTTATCTTGTGAGGACCTTCAGTTCCAATGACTTTTTCCCCTCCATTACACTGATGATGAGGCACTGGTATAATGGGGTGATGAATATTTTCTCTCTGCAGTATTATGAGAAAAACTATTCTCTCCCTGGCTTAGTAATAACCGAACATCCTGTTGTGTGCTCTGGCTAATCAGAACCTGGCCTATTCTTAGAAGTGTGATTTAATGTATATCTATAAGCTAAAAGAAAAGGCATACTTGTGGCACCGTAGAGACTAACAAATTTATTTGAGCATAAGCTTTTGTGAGCTATAGCTCACTTCATCGGATGCATTCAGTGGAAAATACTGTGGGGAGATTTATATACATAGAGAACATGAAACAATGGGTGTTACCATACACACTGTAACGAGAGTGATCAGGTAAGGTGAGCTATTACCAGCAGGAGAGCTGGGGGGGGGCGGGGAGAGAAGGGAGGAGGGAGAAAACTTTTGTAGTGATAATCAAGGTGGGCCATTTCCAGCAGTTGACAAGAACGTCTGAGGAACAGTGGGGAGCGGGGGGAGGGGGATAAATATGTGGAAATAGTTTTACTTTGTGTAATGACCCTTCCACTCCCAGTCTCTATTCAAACCTAAGTTAATTGTATCCAGTTTGCAAATTAATTCCAATTCAGCAGTCTCTCGTTGGAGTCTGTTTTTGAAGTTTTTTTGTTGAAGTATTGCCACTTTTAGGTCTGTAATCAAGTGACCAGAGAGATTGAAGTGTTCTCCAACTGGTTTTTGAATGTTATAATTCTTGACGTCTGATTTGTGTCCATTTATTCTTTTACGTAGAGACTGTCCAGTTTGACCAATGTACATGGCAGAGGGGCATTGCTGGCACATGATGGCATATATCACATTGGTAGATGTGCAGGTGAACGAGCCTCTGATATTGTGGCTGATGTGATTAAGCCCTATGATGGTGTCCCCTGAATACATATGCGGACAGAGTTGGCAACGGGCTTTGTTGCAAGGATAGGTTCCTGGGTTAGTGGTTCTGGTGCGTGGTTGCTGGTGAGTATTTGCTTCAGGTTGGGGGGCTGTCTGTAAGCAAAGGACTGGCCTGTCTCCCAAGATCTATGAGAGTGATGGGTCATCCTTCAGGATAGGTTGTAGATCCTTGATGATGCATTGGAGAGTTTTAGTTGGGGGCTGAACATGATGGCAAGTGGCGTTCTGTTATTTTCTTTGTTGGGCCTGTCCTGTAGTAAGTGACTTCTGGGTACTCTTCTGGCTCTGTCAATCTGTTTCTTCACTTCAGCAGGTGGGTATTGTAGTTGTAAGAATGCTTGATAGAGATCTTGTAGGTGTTTGTCTCTGTCTGAGGGGTTGGAGCAAATGCGGTTTATCTATTCAGGGGACACCATCATTGGGCCTAATCACGAAAGCTTATGCTCAAATAAATTTGTTAGTCTCTACGGTGCCACAAGTACTCCTTTTCTTTTTGCGAATACAGACTAACATGGCTGCTACTCTGAAATCTATAAGCTAGTTTCTGATTAGGGGAAATAGTTAGTCCTAAAACTTAACTGATAAAATATAAACTTTCTTGTGGTTTGACATGAATTGCCTTTGGCAGAAAGCGAAAGGAGTTACTTTGGCACACATCAGATTCTTTCAACATTTTTTCATAGCTTATGTGATCAGTTGCAAACTTTAAGTTTCAGCCAATGTTGAGAACTGGCTTAAAACAAAGTTCTTAATAATAGAGTAATTTAACTTCATGTGAAGATTATTTCTTTTAATTAAGTTACTTTCTGGAATTATAGCTGTTGTCTTTCAGACAGTTTTACTTCCACAGTAAAAAAACTGGACTTTGTAAGAGGTTCAATAGGTGGGGAAAAAGCTGTAATGGTCAGGGTTAAGAAAATTGGGGAGATGAAAGAACCACTTGTTGACCTGTGAAACACTGATTCTTGTAACATCAGTGCTGTCCGATTTATCAGTGAACACCTTTGTGTAATGGCATGGATAATATCTAGCAATATTCATTTCTATATGGGAAAATTGAACAGTTAATTTAGGCATTATGAACTGTAATATGATTTGCTTTATTATTAACACAGTGTGTAAACACTGAATAGAGTCTTTGTACTGATGCATTTTTGATACATTTGTGTTTTTAATGGGGTGACCCAAATGTTCTTTGTGCCCAGGGCCCCAATAAATCTTAATCTGCCTCTAGCCAGAATGTACAGAATAAAAGCCTGATACAGGTGACAAAAATGGTTTCCCAGAATTACATTTAGTTTGTGATGTGTTGTATTAATGAGTTATGTCAAGGAACTTGCTGTACAGTACATGGCGGCTCCCACCTATGTGCAAGCATCTAATCCCATCAGATGTGATTTAAAGTCTCTTTTGCAGCTTTGTGGATTCACTGCAAAATACTTTGGAATTAATAAGTAAAATGAATGTATACAAATTTACTCTGGCAATTTGTGTCACATGCTATTATTCACCCTATGTACATAAAAATGGCCATACTGGGTCAAACCAAAGGTCCACTAGCCCAGTATCCTGTCTTCTGACAATGGCCAATGCCAGGTGCTTCAGAGGGAATGAACAGAACAGGTAATGATCAAGTGATCCATCCCCTGTTGCCTATTCCCAGCTTCTGGCAAACAGAGACTAGGGACACCATCCCTGTCTATCCTGGCTAATAGCCATTGATGGACCTATCCTCCATGAATTGATCTAATTTTTTTTTTAATCCAGTTATAGTGTTAGCCTTCTCAGCATCCCCTGGCAATGAGTTCCCCAGGTAAACTGTGCATTATGTGAAGAAATACTTCCTTTTCTTTTAAACCTGCTGCACATTAATATCATTTGGTGACCCCCAGTTCTTGTGTTATGAGAAGGAGTAAATAACACTTCCTTAATTACTTTCTCCACACCAGTCATGATTTTATAGACCTCTATCATATCTCCCCTTAGTCATCTCTTTTCCAAGCTGAAAAGTCCCAATCTTATTAAACTCTCCTCACATGGAAGCTGTTCCATACCCCTAATCATTTTTAAATTTGTTAGTCTCTAAGGTGCCACAAGTCCTTCTTTTCTTTTTGCAGATACAGACTAACACGGCTGCTACTCTGAAACCTAATAATTTTTGTTGCCCTTTTCTGAACCTTTTTTCAATTCCAATAATTCCTTCTGTAGGAAGATAAGGGACTGTCATTTCTGATTAGTT